TCCCTGAGCTGTCATTTCGTTGCCTTCTGGTCTTACCTGCTTCCTGTGTTCCTGTACCTGTGCCTAGTAAGTTATTGACCCGGATTGCCTTTGACCTTGCTGATTTCTCCTGCCCAGACCCTTGCTTGCCTGACCTCTCTCCCTGGATGCCCCTTATTAGATCTGACCTCCTGCTGCTGACCTGGCGTGTGACCCGACGATTCTCTGCCTGCTCCCTTGTACCTTACCGTCCTCTACAATACCCGACTCGGCTGTCTGACTACGCACTTGCTCAGCCATCCATCCATCCCATCGGGGTCACCCGACCTCCTCACATCTGGCTCTCCCTGGTTGGAGCCCCTGGCGAACACCACTACCACTGACAGGTGTGCTCAGCAGAGGCGACCTGGTCTCGGGTACTACAAGTCCATCCCCACCATCAGGGGCCCTGGTGAACAAGTACCCTGGGGCTTAGACTCCGCGCTCTGGGCACGCCTGACCAGTGGAGTGCTAGTGGTGCCGCTCGGCGGTCCCTCACAGGTGCTGGGATCAAAGTTTGTGAAAAAATTAACCAGTAGGATTGACTGGGCGGAACCCATGTCAGCCACCCCCAAGACAATCCAGTCCGCCCTCCCTAACAGCAGGCATTGGGAGGACCAAACAGTACACATTTGCAAAGACATCTGCATCCCCAAACAGTTGGAATACAGGGGAGCGTTCAGCCGTGTATACAAATCCCATAGTAAGAAGCAGTAGGATAAGTTCCCTTGGCTTGTAAGAAAAAACAGAAAGGAGAAAAATTGTAAAACAGCACATATATTTGTTGCTCCCAACCACTACAGGCATGTACTGGATGGGGGAGAAAAAAAAAGGGGGGGGGCCTTCAACTCAACAGGAGTATATGGTCAGCCCGCAGCATCTTGGGGGAGGCTTAGTTGACATCCAACCATTGTGCTGCGTCACCAGCCATTGTCAAAAAATGGGCTTGAGCTCTCGCCATGATCCACATACAAGCAGGATATAGCATAGCATATTTAACTTGAAGCCTTTGAAGTCGCTTCTTGACATCCCAAAATTTTGCCCTCCGGCGTTGAACTTCTGCAGAAAAAATCTGGAAAGAAGGATACTCAGGCTCCATTAAACTGCATGGATGCCCTCTCCCTGGCTAGTTTTAGAATGTTTTCTCTGTCCTTATATTGTAGGAAGCGTGCCAGGATAGGTCTGGGGGTATCTCCCGGAATAGATGTAGCAGAAACACGATGAGCTCTTTCCACAGTGTAGAGGGGAGAAAAAGAGTCTTTACCAAAAATGTCCAGCAACCACGGGCGGACTGACCATTAGGAAACTCGGTCATTGCCCGAGGGCCCGGGTTCAGTAGGGGCCCCATGAGATGCCCCTGGTACCTTTTTCATAGGCTTTTTTGAGTTTGGGCAAGGACACAGGGGCCCCATGATCCCCTATTGCCCAGGGGCCCCATGAGTTGTCAGTCCGCCCCTGCCAGCAACCATGTTTCAATGAAGGTAGTTGGCTCTCTGTCTTCTACTCATTCTGGCAGACAAGCTATGCGGACATTGTTACATTGCAATCTGTTTTCAACGTCATCCGTTTTATCCGTGACGACATGTAATTGGCAAGTCGTAGTGCAGGTTTCAGCCACCAGTGAGTCGATTTGATCTTTCAAATCACTGATGCGACTTTCATCCGCAGTTGTGCATTCTCTAATCTTTTGGAGGTCCTGGTGCAAAAAGGATACCTTCTCTGTGAGCCCCCCTAATTGATCCTTCACCGATTGCACCAAGGCTGTGCATTTATTCACAGTCCTCAGGATATCAGAGTGGGTTGTTCTCCCCCATCCAGGGTCTCAGCATCCTCCCTTGCCATGTCTGTGGCTGTCTCCTGTATAGCAGCCAGGTCAGGCTAGGGACAGTAAAGGCCACTTCTCCCAACAGCTTCGAGCAGCCCTCCCGGGCTCCAAAATCAGTGTCCGTCTGCATATCAGAGAGTTTATGTGTAAAACTAAGAATATTACCATCTTTACAGGTGGAGCGGCCACTCTTTAAAGGTTTACTGCCAAGCTCTTTGGATCTCTCAGGGCCACGAGGAGTCCACTGTAAGAGCACTCCGGCACCATGTGTAGCCTCCAGGGCTGCGGCTTCTTTTTTAGATTTACGGGTCATCATGAGAGCAGGCCACCCTTGTCAGGTATCCGCAGAGAGCTGAAGCCAAAAGGAAGGCAGTGGTGGCAGCAGGAGCGCAGTACAATGCCAGGGGAAGGACAGGCAGAGGATCAGAGCCAGGAGCCTTGTGAAACAGGTCCGCTCACTTGCCTGTCGTGGCCACGTCCCCATATCTGGCGCATTTACTTTTGATATATACAAGTTTGATGCCCAGGCTACCAGTAAAATGGATGAGGGACTCACTGACACAGATATGTTTGTCAAGACTATACATTTCAGAATTTTTATTGTTAAAATAATGATCAGTGGCTCAATTGTACAGTTTGTCATACAGTATTTGGGGTGATTTTGGGGAGGGCACAGGGAATTGTAACTGAAGTGCAGAAATCACATGAATATTTTATACTGCGTTCTTGACATAACGGAGGAATGAAGTGGCATAGTGAATGGGGTGTGTGGACCAATTGGCCTGCTGGGTTTTTTTTTTTTCAGGCTCCATGTACACTAGAATGTTTAAGCCACTAGAAGCTATTATGAGCATTTTTTTTCTGCTTCTAGAAGCTAGTAGTGTTATGCTATGTGGCCATGCACACTATTTTATGCTAGAAGTGTTTTACAAGATTCAGCATTTAGAAGCAGAAAAAAAAGTTTTTGTAGAGTTTTTGGGAGCGTTTTATCAGCAGAAAAAAATTGTGAATGCTCCTAAACACTTCTAAATGCTACTAAAATACTCCTAACGGCTTTTTTCAAGCTTTTCCATGTACTGTAAAAACGCTAATAAAATGCTAACACTCCTAAAACGCTACTACAAGCTAGCACAAAAACACTATTATCAGTGTTTTTCATCCAGCTTTTTTCTAGCATTTTTTGAGCTTATAAAAAATGCTAGTGTGCATGGAGTGTGAGGACAAGAAACACTTTAAATTCTTGAACTGTTTCCACTCAAATGGATGGGCATAAACGGACATGGAATTTTTGGTGATATAGTGCTGGGCATAAAGACTGTATTGGACAAAAATTACATTTAAGACATTTTCTGTGAAAAATAAATTTAAAAAGGAATGGGCATACATTTTTGTGTTTCTGCCTGAATGCTTGGCTACTTCTGTAAAGGGGATTATAAGTGCTTCTGAATTTAAAGGTAGCTATATAGGATTTAAAAGTGCCTCTGGGACACTAGTATGGACCCTAATACTTGGTGGCTGACATGACTACTTGTATACTTGTACTTGGCCTTTCATCCAGTTATACTGCACTGCTAGTACTTGCCACTTCACAGGGATGTATTGCACTGCTGGTAGCTGCCTGCTTCTCTTCAGAATGCCTTATTCTTTTTGTTGGGACCCTTTCCTGCTCTGAACTGATTACTGAACTGTTGCTGTCCACGGGTACATATTCAGAATCTGAGTATGACATTGCCTGTTCCCCACTACTCTGATCTGTCATGCTCAGAATTTAGAATGCTTCCTCCTACGTGTACATTTTTTTGGACATGGCGTTCAGGTTCTGGTGAAACTGTACTGTTAATGCTGATGTAGAGGTGATCAGAACACTAGCGTTGGTGTATGGCAGCCTGGCATCACTGCAGTCAAGAACACTGGCTCTGATACTAGTATGATGGTGATCAGGGCATCGGTACAGGTGTATAGCTGCCGGGCCTCACTTCAATCAGGAACACTGGCTCTGCTGATACCAGTATGATGGTAATCAGAACATTGGTACAGGTGTATAGCTGCCGGGCCTCACTGCAATCAAGAACACTGGCTCTGATACTAGTATGATTGTGATCAGAACATCGGTACAGGTGTATAGCTGCCGGGCCTCACTGCAATCAGGTACACTGACTCTGCTGATACCAGTATGATGGTGATCAAAACATCGGTACAGGTGTATAGCTGCCGGGCCTCACTGCAATCAGGAACACTGGCTCTGCTGATACCAGTATGATGGTTATCAGGACATCGGTACAAGTGTATGGCTGCCGGGCCTCACTGCAATCAGGTACACTGACTCTGCTGATACCAGTATGATGGTGATCAGGACATCGGTACAAGTGTATAGCTGCCTTCTCTCACTGCAATCAGGTACACTGGCTCTGCTGATACCAGTATGATGGTGATCAGGACATCGGTACAAGTGTATAGCTGCCTTCTCTCACTGCAATCAGGTACACTGGCTATGCTGATACCAGTATGATGGTGATCAGGACATCGGTACAAGTGTATAGTTGCCTGGCCTCACTGCAATCAGGTACACTGGCTCTGTTGACACTAGTGTGGCAGTGATCAGTACGCTGGTGTGGCAGTGATCAGTACGCTGGTGTGGCAGTGATCAGTATGCTGGTGTGGCAGTGATCAGGATGCTGGTGCTGGTGTATAGCAGTATGGCATCACTGCAATCACTACAAACTGTGTGCTGCTGATTGCAGAGGACATATAGGTACATCAACCCACATTGGCGCTGCTCCTGTCCATCCATATACATTGGCCGGATGGGAAGCCGTTAAGCTATAGGAAACCCACTGTTAGCATAAAGGACAACTGTACCTTAGGTACAAGTTGTCTTTCATGGTATGTCCTTACCTCACTGAGTGCAGACCAGCTGCAGAAAACCTAAGTGGACCATACATTATACAATTTTCTTAATCAATTTTCTCTAGATTTACCGTCAACTATTGTATGTAGTGCAGGGCCTGCCTGATTGCATAGACGTTGAAAGTGTTTAGATCTGACCTCATATTATACACTATATTGCCAAAAGTATTGGGAAACCCCTTCAAATCATTGTATTCAGGTGTTTTAATTACCTCCATGGCTACAGGTGTGTAAAATCAAGTACCTAGGCATGCAGACTGCTTCTACAAACATTTGTGAAAGAATGGGTCACTCTCAGCATAGTGAATTCAAGCGTGGTACCATGATAGGTTGCCACCTGTGCAATAAGTCTATCCGTGAAATTTCCTTGCTACTAAATATTCCGTGGTTAACTGTTAGTGGTATTATAAGAAAGGGGAAGTAACTGGGAACAACAGCAACTCAGCCACGAAAAATGACAGTGGGGTAAACGCATGCTGAAGCACACAGTGCACAGAAGTCGCCAACTGTCTGCAGAGTCAGTAGCTAAGGACCTCCAAACTTTGTGTGGCCTTCAGGTTAGCACAACAGTGCACTGAGAGCTCCGTGGAATGGGTTTCCATGGCCAAGCTTCTGCATCTAAGTCTTACATCACCAAGTGCAATGCAAAGTATCGGATGCAGTGGTGTAAAGCATGCCACCACTGGACTCTAGAGCAGTGGAGACGTGTTCTCTGGAGTGACCAATCACTTCTCTGTCTGGAAATCCAATGGACGTGTCTGGGTTTGGCGGCTGCCAGGAAAACGGTACTCGCCTGACTGCATTGTGCCAAGTGTAAAGTTTGGTGGAGGGGGGATCATGGTGTGGGGTTGTTTTTCAGGGGTTGGGTTTGGCCTCTTAGTTCCAGTGAAGGGAACTCTTAAGGCGTCAGCATAACAAGACATTTTGGCCAATTTTAGGCTTCCAACTGTGTGGGAACAGTTTGGGGATGGCTCCTTCCTGTTCTAACATGACTGCACACCAGTGCACAAAGAAAGGTCCATAAAGACATGGATGAGCAACTTTGAGGAGGAACTTGACTGGCCTGCACAGAGTCCTGACCTTAACCCGATAGAACACACACACATTCACTGCCGTAAAGATGCGCTCTGTGGATTCCCATAGCCTTCCTAAAGAAGAGCTGAAGCTGATTTTGCTGCAAAGGGTGGGCCAACTCAATATTGAACCCTACGGACTAAGACTGGGATGCCATTAAAGTTCATGTGCGTGTAAAGGTAGGCGTCCCAGTACTTTTGGCAATATAGTGTATGTTTTTGGCAAATCTAAAGAAAGATTGTACAATAAAATTGTATAATGTATGGCCAGTCTTACCTTCATCCTTGGCCCAGTGATCTTCACTGTGCAGCTCTTCCAGAGCACAACCTAACTTCCAAAACTGTCCCTGCGGGTCCCCACCACAGCCCCATTTATTCCTATGATGAGATCCAGCTGTACTGCTCAGGACAGGGCCACAAAGTGAAGATTACTGGAACAGGGACAGAGGTACATATTGGACCAGGTGGGCTGCACTCAGTGAGGGCATGCCTTAAAAGACAACTTGTACTAAAAGTACAGTTGTCCGTTAAGCCCTTCCTGCCAGCGCCTCTCAGCCCTTTAAGAGGTTCTGGATGCCGGGAGGTGGAGGTGCGCATTCCGATAATGTGTGCGCTGTGATTGGCAGTCACAAGTATACATCGGGAGCTTTCCAGTACACACTGCTAACTGTGCTGGGAGCACTCAAAGTGAGCGCTCTCAGCACAGAAATGTTTACATTTGGGACAAATATATGCAACCTCTTGGCATTAAAGCCCACCCACCGAGAGGCCGCATATATACGTAAGGCCGTTGGAAAGAGGCTAAAAGCATGTTAAAATTACTTCTTAGGTCATTGTTTTAGCATGCCTTCAAGTGGTTGTAAACCCTTACATATATCCAGTGAAGAGACAAGCCTCAGGTGATACACAGAGATGAAACAAATCATCCTACATAAGTTGTACTTATTTATCTATAGCCATTTCTTCTCTACATCTATTTAAAGTCCAGAATCTATACTGCTTTTCTGAACTTCCAGAGGCAGGGAGCAGGCACCTAATGTCACACACTGCACAGGTCAGAGTGGAGAGCAGAGTGTAATCTGAGATGTAGGTGGAGGGAAGGGACACACACACACAATCTCATTGGGAAACGTGCACAGCTGAGGCTGTCAATCACAGGCTGACTGCTGGAACTTCCCTCCCTTGTACCCCTAGAGCACAGGTGTCAAACCCATGGCCCTCCAGTTGTTACGGAACTACAAGTCCCATAAGGCATTGCAAGGCTGACAGTTACAAGCATGACTCTTAAAGGCAGAGGCATGATGGGACTTGTAGTTCCCCAACAGCTGGAGGGCAGTCAGTTTGACACTCCTGCCCTAGAGGTCTTCACAACCTGTCAGAAATAACACATGGAGATGGCAGAGGAACCAGACTGCAGACAGATATCACACTCTGTGATTTGGATTGGGGCAAGGATCTGCTTTGTACATTTTTCACGTCAGAGGTTTACAACCACTATTGTGTTACCAATAGTTATAAATAAGGGAACAGTGTGGCAGTTATGTTGATACTATGACCTTAATACGTTGTAAGTTGATGACCTAGAATAAGTATGCAGATCAGGAAAGGCAAAACAAAGAGAGAATTCATTATGTGCATACTTGTTCTTGGTTAGTGATTCAAGGCACAGCATGTTTCTCTCAGGAAAGGTTACCTTTAAGAATGAATTCTGGTTACTGAAATTCTGCTGTAAGGAATAGATTAGGTGTTCCATAAAAATTCATCAACAAAATGTCATCATTCAGTAATGAGAGGTGACTCCTTCATTGTATTGCCTAGTACTGTACAGCAGCCTGGTGCTGTTGTAGGAGATACAGGGAACTACCAAGTGTGCCCTCTTCTCCCATTGTAGTTCACTAGATGGAGGAGTTGCCTTACTACGTTTTTACATTTTGCTTTCCATAAAACCCCATACACACTTGAGCATTTTTCAGCTCAAAGCTCAACACTCAACAAGTAAAATCCCATTATATCCAATGGTCCCTGTTCACACTTGAGCGTTCTGTCACCTGTAGCAAAATGCCTGTCACTCAAAATGTACTAGCACTACTTTTCTGGCAGATCTAAGTGTTTTATTCCCATAGACGAATAGAAAACGCCTGAAAGTTGGGAATGAGTGTTTTTTCAAGCTTATTTTCAAGTGTTTTTTTCAGGCGGTTTCATCTCAAACAGCAGCTATTTCTATTGGCCACAGCAAATACGCCTAAATGAAAAACGCCTGAAAAAACACCTGAAAAACGCTCAGCTCAGTTTGTATGCAGCCTAAATAGATTGTACACATTGAATGTTAGAGATTGTTGTTTTTTCAAATTATTTTTATTGATAGTCTGTTACAATAAATAATATATGTTTTTTATTGAAACTACTTGCAATGGACTGCTTTTAATTTTTGTATAACCATTGAAGATGCTTCTTCATTACTTGTGCCAAACCACAGAAGAGTAACCTCCACAATACATGATTAGCTCCTCTGATGTATCAGTGGCTTTTAGTTAGTGAATCAGTTAGTTGCATGTGATATTATGGTTCCCTGCTAATGAATCTTTATTGTTTTTAGGTTACACATCAATATACTGAGTCCTTTGTGCAATACAATAAAAGGCATCTTGGTTTGCAAATGTTTTTTGCACGCTGCTTTCAGTTATCCTCATGAGTCTTTAGGAGTACTGCTACTGTGGTCACAACCCAACCATTACCTCCAAAACATCCAACTTTTCTATTGAGACCTATTCTCTGCTAGTGCCTCCCAAGTCTGTTGCTCCAAAGAAATATAAGAAAAAAAATCTTTTCTGCTTCAATGCAATTAACTAAGCCTAGCAAAGGAAATTAAACGGTAACATTTACTCAATTTTCTTACTAAAACACACAGTTTGCCTTACTGTTTTATTCTGGGCAACTTTAGAAAAAACAATCCAAAACTATAAAGCCAATAGAAGGAAAATGTTTGAATCATAAACTGAAAATCACGAAGAAATGGTGACACACCAAAAAAAAGAAGTGGAATTGGATGAAGTTAAAAGGATCAGCAGATGATGTAAGCACTAGCCTTTTAAAGTCAGCATTTCCATCTGATAATTACCATTGCGCTGATTTACTAAAGTGGTTGAGAATCTTTAGGAAACAAATGTGGAAATGTTCACTTGAAGTAGAATTCTGAGTCATCACTGACTAATCTTAAAACTGCTCTCACCACCAGTACAGTGACAAGAAAAAATATGTAAACCCCTTGGAATTAACTAGTTTTCTGCAGTAATTTGCAAAATGTGACCTGATCCTAAGTCACAATAATAGAAAAACACAATGTGCTTAAAGTGGCTGTAAAGGCTGAAGGTTTTTTTTACCTTCAGTGTGCAGCGCCCCCCCCCCCCATAAAGTATGACGTTATTTTTTATTTTTAAGCGAAACCTTTAGTATCACATTAAGCTGATAACACACAATTGTAATTTCTTGTGTCTTTATTAAACACCCCCCTTAAACACCCACAGTGCTGGATGAAAAAGTATTGAACCCTTGCAAAGTTGATAGCTGGTCGAACCTCCTTTTGTAGCAATGACTTCAGGCAAGCACTTCCGGTAACTCTGGATTAGACCTGCACAATGTTCAAGAGAAATTTTGACTATTCCTTTTACAAAACTACTTCAGCTCAGACACGTTTGTAGGATGTCTGGTATGAACAGCCCTATTAAGGTCATTCTACAGCATCTCTATGGGGTTAAGGTTTGGGCTCTGACTGGGCCACTCCAAAAAGCATTTTCTTTTTCTGAAGCCAGTCTGTGAGGGATTTACTTTGATGCTTGGAGTCATTGTCCTTCTACACACCACCCAACTTTAGCTGTTGGACTACCTCCCTAGAAGGCCCTGTAGGATATTTTAATAAACATAGGAATTCATTTTACCCTTGATGATGGCAAGTGGCCAGAACCCTAAGCCAGCGAAGCAAGCCAAAAATTATGATGTTCCCCCCACCATACTTCACCGTTGGGATGATGTTTTGTTCATCAGTCCACAAAACATTTTCGCAGTAGCAATGCAATTTGCCAAGGTACCCTGGCAAACTATAGGCATGCAGCATTTTTTTGGGGGGGGGGGGGGGGGAGCAGCAGCTTTCTCTGTGTTGGTCTGTCTTGGACACCCTGCCTATTCAAAAACCTACGTATGGTAGATTCATGAACAGGGATGCTTGCAGTTCCAGTGATGTCATCAAGCCTTTAGCTATTACTCGTAGGTTCTTCTTTACCTCATTGAGGATCCTGCATTGTGCCTTTGGATTCACCCTGGCTGAGCACCCACGTCTGGGAAGAGTAGCCACAGTTCTAAACCGTCTCCCTTTTAGACAATTTGTCTAGGTGTCGACTAGTGGATGCTTAAACACTTTGAGATTGTTTTGTATTCCTTTTCAGTCTTATGCAGATCAACTTATCTTGATGGTCTGTCTTCAGAGAGCTGCTTTTTGCAAGGAATGGTTTACATCAGCTGATGATTCTTATAAACAGCGATCCTAAAATGTTATTATCAATCAAAATAGCTCTAAACCACGCCTCCAAACACATTTTATTAATCGGAATCAAGGTATACAAACACTGACTCCAATTAGCTTTCGTTGAAGTAATTGGTCTATGGGTTCACCTACTTTTTCCTTGTGTGTTCAATAAAGACATGATTAATTAGAATTGTTTGTGTGTTATCAACTTAAAGTGGTTCTAAAGGCTCAAGGTTTTTTACCTTCTTGCATTCTATGCATGAAAGTAAAAAACCTTCTGTGTGCAGCGCCCCCCCCCCCAATCCTTACCTGAGCCTCCAGCGATGTTCTCAACAGCCTCTGCTGTCTGGAGACTCTCTTTTCATTGGCTGAGACAGCAGTGGGAACCCATTGGCTGCTGTTGCTGTCAATCACAGCCAGTGGGCCAATGAGGAGAGAGCAGGGGCTGGGGCCAAGTCGCTGCTCTATGTGTCTTATGGACACATAGGACAGTGGCGTCCTCAGGGTGAGTGGCACTGCTTGAGTGGGAAAAGCCAAGAGCACTGGCGGGGACCCGAACAGAAACGGGGCTCCTCTGTGCAAAACCACTGCACAGAGCAGGCAAGTATAGACATGTTTTTTGTTTTTAAATAAAGCTTTAGTGTCACTTAAAGCACATTGTGTTTGTATATTGTGACTTCAGATCACATTTTATGGCAAATTATTGCAGAAAAACAGTTAATACCAAGGGGTTCTCATACATTTTCTTGCCACTGTATCCTATAGAAGAAAGATGCATATACTTATCTATTTTCAGAGCACTCTGTTCCAGTCATATGATCTCCACGGTGTCAGCCAGCGCCAGCTACAGGGGAGAGTAGAGAGTACACCGACAATGGCTTGAATGCCTCAGCAGTGCCATCACCCATAGACTTACCATTGGCCATCCATTGTTAGCGTTCACTCCTCTTCCCTGAAGCTGCTGCTTGGTGACACAGGACTGGACCATCCTGAAAAATAGGTAAGTATATGCATCTTTATTTGACAGGGTAGTTAGTATAGTTGTTAGAAGGGGGTGGGAACAGTTAGGATTAGTTAGAGATAGCCCAAAATTCTATATTAACTTTTTTGAAGCCGGCCACATGTTGGGCCTGAAAGCTAAGTGACTGCATATATGCGGCCCTGTTAAAACTACTTACTATGCTGAGAGCACACTCCCTGCATGCTCCCAACACGGTAGCAAGCTTTAGTTGGTAGGCGGTCCATACTTGCGATAAGGAGCTTTCTAATCATGTGACAGCCAATTCAGCGGTCACATGACCCAAAGGCTCGCCTGAGCCTCTAGGCTTTTAGAATTCTTAAAGGGTAGGGAATCGGTTGGCGCCAAGGGGTTAAATGATCCAGTCATTTGCATCTGCACATACATACGTAATCAAGAGATTATTTCTAACATGATTGGATAACTGAAGTGAATATTTACGCAGTTTTTTAGGTGAAATTCTCAACTCCAGTAAATTGGTCTGTATGAGTGTGCACGTCTAAATAAAAACAGAAACTCTTTCAGTACACATAAAGCACACCTGTGATCTGGGAAATATGGAGGCTACTATCATTTGCATACACTTTTTTAAATACCAAATGACGGGCTGTGTCTGGTTTCCGCCTTTTTAAGTCACAGACTGCGAACAAACATACAGCAAATGAAAGATGTAGAAAAAGTCAGCATCCCTTATCTCTTGTTCTGGATTAATGACTCAAAGTATTGCAAGCATTATATAAGTAAGACAGCCAGACAACTAATACTTTCATAAGGAGAGGTCAGCACTGGCAACCCGCATCATTTTCTCATGATGGATTTTCAACAATTTAGGAGAATAACAGGCAAACAACCCTCATCTCTATTCTGAGACACCTGAAATATACACTTAAGAACTTCCAATGCAATGCCTACAGGTGCACATAATGTGCATGTATAGAGTTAAGTGTGGTACTGAAATAGTTTCTCCCTAAATTGTAACCTACTCTCCCAGGTATGGAACAAGTCAGTTATTCCTGGGTTCCTCAATTATTTTGAACATCTTAGAAAACCCTGGTGATTTCAGAACTATATCACTCATATTTTTTAGGTTCCTCAAAATAAAAGCTTTACCAATGACAATTATTGAGTATAGCAAACCAAATAGGCTTTTCTGTTAATACAGAAGCACAGGGATAAGTGATATCTCTTCCCACATATTCTTACACCTGTATGCTTACAATACATAACAATAGCAGCAGAGCTCAGACTACAAAAATCTTAGGAAACTTCAGATGTATTGTTATAGAAGAAAACCATGAAACATGGAAGAACAGCGCATCAAAAAAAATTCAGACACAAAAGTGCACCAGCTCGTGTTCAGATCTTTCTCTGTCTGTTATGGTTTAATGTCTGTGTCATTTATTTGTAGTTAATATTTCCACAGCACTTCTCTCCCTGAGGACTCTAAGCACTTGATCTGCTCTTGGGGCAGATAGTGAGGCAGTAATCTTGGGCGTGCTCAGTAGAATATCATACTAGGGCCATTTTAAGACAGGAGAAAATTAACCTACCAGCACAGCATTGAAAGTCCACATATATCTCGCAATAGAGCTTTTAAATTGCAATCCCACATCTTCTTCTCACTATTTGTATCTCTGCAGGGTCCACCTCTACCAGTTTCCTGGTTTTACTGAAAACTGCTATTATGTATGCAGGGAGAGCTCCAATCAAACCGTATTAGCAGCACAATGGCTTAGTGACTAGCACTTCTGCCTTGCAGCAAAAAGGTCTTTTGTTAGGACACGATCTGCATAGAGTTTGTATGTTCTCCCTGTGCTTGCATGGTTTTCTTCTGGGTACTCTGGTTTCCTCCCACACTTCAAAGACAAGTTGGTAGGTTAATTGACTGCTATCTAAATTAACCCCAGTATGTGTATGTACGAGAGACCAGGACCTTAGATTGTAAACTCTTTGAGGGCAGGGACTGATGTGAAAGTACAGTATGTAAAACATTGTTTAAATTGATGGTGCTATATAAATACCTGTGATGAATAAATACATGTTGGCGCATTATTTTTAATATATGTAGGGTCAGAAGAACCTGGTAGAATTGAATTAGAGCCCAACCCTGGGCAAATAAAACAAATATCGCTTGCAGTGCCCAAACTGCAAGGGTTAATTGCTCATTTATGTCTAGGGGAACAATAAAAGGAAATATACTGCCTATTCATCTGCTCCACCCCACAGCGTCTGCACCCCCATCATCAAAATTGTTTTCTATGCGGAGCTGAGCTTTAAATATATTTAACCATTCACCAGCCTTACTAATTTCACTGGACATTTACACACCTCGTATGCATACATTATTAAGGTGACCTGTAGCCTGCCCAATCCACTGCCCAATTTAATAGGCTCACTAATAGGACACACATGTTCCATGCTCCTCCATATACTATAATGGCTGTACTGTGCACAATCACCAAGCTTGGCTTTTACACTCGGTGCAAGGCCATGACACACTCCAGTTCAATGAATAAAAAGCCTGAGTAGTAGAGCAGAATGGAGTTAAAAGGTTGTGCAATGCAGCAGCCAGGCTGCAAGTCACCCTGCATTTAGAATCTGCATCTGAGATATGCATATGTCCATGGTGATTAGGAGGATTGAGTGCTCTATATAATACGTTTATTTAAAAGGTGCTTTAATTTATTTAAAGAGTCAGGACAATTTAAGTTTGACAACCATTTGCATTTTTGGTTTGGCAAACTGCAAACAAAATACACAATAAGATTTGCCCTAGTATAGCCAACATTATTGCTATAAGATCTGCATTTTGTTTCTGTAACTTTATAGTGTTACTAAACACACAACAGTAAAATCAGTCTGTATATGCAGTAAAGCATTCTTGTTATACTCACTGTGGAACCTAAGGGGTTAATCCTCTGTGTAAAATGCTGTTTGATCCTGACTTCTCTGATCCTCCCCTTCTTCCAGTGTCCCCCTCTTATCTCCTGATAAAGACATATTGTGCGGATTCACTCTGCACATGCTCAGTTTTGTGTACATTGCTAGAGAGTTTTTTTTTTATTTCTTGGGAGAGTTCATGTGATCAACATACTGTCACTCAGCACTGCCAGACAAGGTCAGGGGTCCTGCATCCTCCTAGAGCAAAATGAAAACTCCTCCTACAAGCTTTAACCAGTGCTCTGCTGGACACTGTTAGAAGTAACAAGACTTTAGTAACACTTTAAAGGTTAACTCAAGGCAGAAATATTATCACTACTAATTAATGCAGTCTAGTTTTTATTAAAATAAATATATGCCTTTTTAAATGCAACCAGTGTTAGTACCTGATGTTAGCAGGTATTTTCTATGTAGAAGCCTCTCATAATCCCCTTCATAGTTGCACTCAGACTGACCTAAAGGCCAAACAACTGTTTTACATATAAGGAATATGCTGGCAAGAGAATAAAGCAAAGTGATTACTCATCTGCCTGCTGCTACTTTACTGTCCAATCGCAGTTTGAGGGCAGGAAGGGGACCATTGCTTAGCTGCAGTATGGAAAAATCAGTACACCAGCCTGGCTCTGCTGACTGGTAGTGTTGTTTATACATCTGGACTGAAAAAAACAGAAAGAAATCCTTTGGCAGGCTCCAATATATGTATTTAAATGGTATATTTAGCCATTTGCCTTGGTTCATTTTAAATGATGCTGACTATAAATAGGATTGATTCCAACAGGCATTTGATGAACACTTTCCTGTTATAAGCAAACACGGTTTCTCGTATAGACATTGAAGCTTTTAGGATAAATGACTTAAATGTTGGATTTAGGAATGTTATGATGAGTGAATGGAAAACAATGTTACTAACATAAATTTTATCAGAAGATAGAAAAACACAAAGTACATATCACATGTGGTGGATACAGTGTCAGTCTACCAGTAGTGGCTCATAATAAATAGAATTACACATTACATCATATTGGACTCTGTAAAATTGCTAAATGTAGAGGTAATGCACCAAACGCAGCAGAATCGCCTAAGAAATCCTGTCCTAAGAACACAAATCACACACCTAATGACTGATGTAATTCTCCAAACATGAGTACCATTTCATTTCGCAGCAAAGCTGTGTTAACAGCGCCTGCTGGAATCTGGATATTTCAGCTTTAGTTCTTCCTTAAAGCCTCTGTAGAGCTGACGGTTTCTTTTGTTTTCTGCATCTTTTTGACTGTGGAAGTCCCCCGGTAACTTGTGGCCCTTGTGAACCAGGAATGCAGAGTCAAGTACTGCAAATGTATAGCCAGCTATATTCAGTTCACATGCCTGAAGGAAAATGAAAAGAAATAATGAGTTAAATGTACAGAGTTACAAAATGTTTAAATTTTACGACCACATCAAACATGTTAAAGGGTAAGTTCCCCTTGGTAAGAAAATGTGCCAAGTTTTCAAGGAGCCCATGTAGTTTTACCTTTCAAAATTGGTGCCTAATTTAAAGTGATACTAACCATTCAGATATATATATATATATATATATATATATATATATATATATATTTTAAAACAAACATGTCATACCTACCTGCTCCGTGTAATGGTTTTCAACAAAGCATCCCCCATCCTCCTCTTCTCGAGTCCCTCACCAGTGCTTCTGGCTACTCCCCCCCCCCCCCCCCCTAGGAGTGCGTGCAGGAGAGCTGCTGCTCTTGTGCACAAAGCTGGATCGAGATCAGGTTTGGGTAAGTATAAAGGGGGGGGGGGGGGCTGAGAGGGTAGCTGCACACTGAAGGTTTGTTTTACCCTAATGCATAGAATGCAACCTTCAGCCTTTAGAATCACTATGCCTTACCTGTAGGCTGATAGTGGCTTCCCATAGTCTGCCTGCAAACTGCCATTGTAAGAGATCAGCCTCATCATGCCTAGGATCTGGAACACACCATATGTTGGGTGACACACCAGTACCACAGGACTGAGCGCACGTCCTCATTCAAAGCATGCATGTGCACAGTGCGCTCTCTTTCTCCCTGTCACCACAGCATCTGAGCCTGGCTGTAGACAGAGGGAAAGAACGCAAACTTTGCATGCAAGGGTCTTAAAAGAGGTAGAGTGTTTATTCCTGTGATCATGGGGTTGCGTCTTACATACAATGTTTTCCAGAATGACGCGGAAGTGTGGGCAGAGCCCTGCACAGCCGTGCTGTTTTTAAAATGTGACAGGGTGAAGAACCCCCAACCACTGTCACAGGCAAGGGGGGGAGCTGAACATGTTACACACCTAAATACAAGTGTAACATGTTCAGAAGGTGAACTTATCCTTTAAATTAGGCACCGATTTTTAAAAGCTGTTTTAATACTACGTAATCCCCTTGAATGCATAGTGCATTACAGAAATATATTTTTTTTAAGATCTTTATTTCTCATTGTTCTATTGTTTTTATTAAAGGGTATGTAAAGCTACATCCTTTGTTTTTAGTTTCAGAGGACATAAGAGGAGGGCATTCCAGAACTGTCACCAGAACAAGTTTACTCAATGGAGGATTTGCCCTCATCTTCTGTTCTCAACTGTTCTTGTGACAGAACAAACATTTTGGAATTCCCATCACTTTCTGCACCAAAGAATCTGGTCAGTGGGACAATACAGGGTGTGGATTACTACAGTAGGGACGCAAACAACAATAAAAACCTGAAAGAGGTTCTAACCTTTCATTATTTTTTTGTGTGTTCAAAACTTTCACTTTAACAGACACTTGAAGTAAAAGCAATAAACATAAAATAAGCTTCTTTTTAACTAGATGAATTTTTAAAACTAGAAATATGTTGGTCAGCATAAGCACAAATGAATGTTACCCTGATCAAAATGGCAATAGTCAGACAACACTTTATGTCACTGCCAAGCAGATTCTCATGAGAAGTTGCTTTTCCATAATGATGAGCAGAGCTGACTTATGCAAGAGTCACTGTTTGGATGTGATGTGCAGAAAAGCCAACCGCGTGGAATTAGGGATGCAGCGAAATTCCGGGGGCCAAAACGTTTTGGTGAAAACACACTTTTGGCTGTCGGATAAAATGATAAAAAGCACCGATACAGGTGGCAAAAAAACCCCGCCCCTCGCCACCACCCGGTTCAGTCTTACCTGAGAAATCATCGATCCCGGCACTGGGAATAGAGATGGGTGAAGGAAAGATGGCCGCCACACATTTCTATGCCCTTGGAAGACCGGAGTGATGGCACTTCCAGTTCCAGCCATTTTTTTTTAAAGCACTAGATCAATGCTTTTTTTTGATCCAATGCTTTACATTGCAAAGGAGAGATGTGGGGTCTTATTGACCCCATATCTCTCCATAAAGAGGACCTGTCACTAATTATTCCTATCACAAGGGATGCATGCATTTCTTGGGATAGGAATAAAAGTGATTACAATTTTTTTTAAAAGGAATAGTGCAAAAAAAAAAAAAACCAAAAACATAAATTTTTTTTTAAAAAGTTTAAATTGCCTCTGCCCCCCATGCGCACGTAGTGGTGAACGCATACTTAGGCCATGCCCACATATGTAAATGGTGTTCAAACCACACACGTGAGGTATCGCCACAAACGTCGGAGCAAGAGCAATAATTCTCACACTAGACCTCTGTAACTTTACACTACTAACCTGTAGAAATTTTTAAAGCATCACTCATGGAGATTTTTTAAGTACCGCAGTTTCACACCATTCGACAAGCGTGCGCAATTTTAAAGAGTGACATGTTGGGTATCTATTTACTCACCATAACATCCTCTTACATATTTTACAAAACAACTGGGGTATATATTGTGTTTTTTAATTAAAGTGCATTTTTTTCCAAAAAATATATATTAATTTTTAAAAACTGTGCATTTCGGTTTTGGTTTTCAGCCAAGTGCATTTTGAATTTTCATTACCAGAATTTTCATTTCGGTGCACTACGTGGAATTACTGATAGGCAAAAAAACAAATACAAACCAGTGATGTTTTATAACTTTACAAATTTTTTGTTACAAATTCGGGCTGCACTACTGCACTATGACCAGCAAAAATACTGTATATTATTATATGAAAAGTCTACTGTATAAGCTGGCTAGTCTCTTCTCTTTTATATTAAATTTATCTTTACCTGGCTGATTCTGTTAAATCCATATTGCTTGAATCTCTCATCATAGGATGGTACATCTTTATTCCCAACATAAAACGGTTCCCATGGATCCCTCCACTCAACAACATAAGCCACCGCCATTCTGTCGGACCTCTCAGGTAAGTTCAGCCATGCTGAGTAATTAGTAGGTGCTTGGCATCGGGAACACAATTCTTCATAGAATGCCCGGACTTCCCCCACCTGGTACAGGCGGAGCAGTTCCTCTTTGGTTCCAGGCAGTCGCCGTGTGTGTCTAATTTCAAAGGCAGGCACCACAAATACTGTATGTGTATCTACCCCTTGAGCAGCCAATTCCAAAAATTTGGATCTTAGTCTTTCACTAGGCACCATATCAATGTCCACAACCAGAATAAAGGTGGTGCTTCCAATACCGACCTTGGCAACATTCCTTAGTAAGTTGTTAGGGTAGGAAGCATTACCTGCATAATTAACTATATGTGAACCCATGCTTGCTGCCTTTGCAAAAACAGCTTGGCACGTACGTAGCTGTGCAAACTGAGCCTGATCTTCCAGTTCTGGAAAAACGGCCTGATCTCCAGACTGGCACACCAGATGAAAGAACACCCTCTGTCTCACTGATGGGCACAACTGAGCGATGGTAAACATTAACGCTGCAGCAACTTTTGCTTGAGCAGAACTAGAAGCAAACAGCGCCAAGGAAATCTTCCCCTCCCAACGCTCAACCAAGTCCTGCAAGTGCCACATATTGTTAAGGCTAGTATGGGAGGCCAAGTACCACGTCCAGAGTTTTGGATGGTCTCTCTTCTCGTACCAGAAGGTGGCGGTAAATCCGGTACTGTCCACTGCCATCCAGAACGCCCCCTGTAGCCAATACCGCCTTCATGTGATCTCTCTGTTCCTTCTGCCATTGTGGCTCGGTATTCGCAGACCCAGCATGGACTGGGTGAGCTGATCTCTGCTGCTGCTGGCCATGCAGGTTGGAGAGGAGGGAGAGGTAGAGAAGCTGGAGGAGAGCAACAAGGAGAAGGGCTATGAGGACCACTCGGAAACAGGAGCAACGCACCGCGCCTGGCATCGCCTGACCTTCCACGCGGCCTCTAGCACCTTCTGGGATCTCAGCGCCTGCCCTTGTGTCCTATGGAACTTACCAAATAAACAGCAACTGCACTGCAGGACCTAACTCACCCCAACATTCTATTGGCTGCAGCTATATAGGATACAAACACGTGTAGCACCATACATCCAACCACCCGGCCCTGTTTACCCACACCGAAAGTATACCGTCATATAGTAGCCTATACACAACGCCTGAGCCCTACAACACGGTGTATGGGGCATGGTAACTGCAACGTTCAGCTCTATGGTACACCACTAGCTACAGCCTGCATCTCCACAGCGTGCACATCCGGTGACCTCACTCCGCCACGCCCACACCCGACAGAAACACACAGCGGGAACTCTGCTTCCGCACAAGAGAAGGGCGGAAGTGACTTCTTCCAGAGGGCGGAACTGTCAGAGCGGGAGGAATAATGGGTTTGTGTGTGAGGAGGTGCTCGTAGTTCAAAACAGTGTCACTGAGAGAGAAGCTCTGTGTTCTGAGTGTGCTGCAGAGCTGCCTGAGTAGGTGTGCAGTGTAACGAGGAGCACAAGGGGGTGCAGAGGCTTTCTACACCCGATTATAGTGTATTGAGAGCAGACCAGTAAAGTCTGTATGGAGCACAGTGTTCTGAGGAGGGCTACACAGCTGCCAGGACAGACAGAATCCCTGGAATTCAAGTGGCGAAGACATATTTGCAAAGGTGTCTTAGGGCTCGTTTACACTTGCTTCCATTTCAGCACACATTACAGTGCCTACCGCTTCAACATGCTTTTCTGATGTGTTTTCCATGATGCTTCAGTTATTCTTTTTTTAAGCTTGGCAAATGCCATGTGTGTGTTGATTTTCTATTTTTGTTTTTAAGGGGCCAGGTAGCACCCCAGAACAGTAGTTAGGCAGATCCCTAGCTCATTGGTGCCCCTGTTCAGCAGATGCCTAGCTCATTGGTGCTTTTGTTCAGCAGATCCATAGCTCATTGGTGCTTCTGTTCAGCAGATCCATAGCTCATTGGTGCCCCTGTTCAGCAGATCCCTAGCTCATTGGTGCCCCTGTTCAGCAGATCCCTAGCTCATTGGTGCTTTTGTTCAGCAGATCCCTAGCTCATTGGTGCTTTTGTTCAGCAGATCCATAGCTCATTGGTGTTCTGTTCAGCAGATCCATAGCTCATTGGTGCCCCTGTTCAGCAGATCCCTAGCTCATTGGTGCCCCTGTTCAGCAGATCCCTAGTTCATTGGTGCCCCTGTTCAGCAGATCCCTAGTTCATTGGTGCCCCTGTTCAGCAGATCCCTAGTTCATTGGTGCCCCTGTTCAGCAGATCCCTAGCTCATTGGTGCCCCTGTTCAGCAGATCCCTAGCTCATTGGTGCCCCTGTTCAGCAGATCCCTAGCTCATTGGTGCCCCTGTTCAGCAGATCCCTAGCTCATTGGTGCCCCTGTTCAGCAGATCCGCAGCTCATTGGTGCCCCTGTTCAGCAGATTTACAGCTCAGTAGTAACCCCCATCTCTGCTGATCCTCCGCTCAGTAGTAACCCCCATCTCTGCTGATCCTCCGCTCAGTAGTAACCCCCATCAAAGCATGGATTGATCCTGCCTTGTATCAATGCTTCAGGCTGGTGGTGGTGGTGTGTAATGGTGTGGGGGAGATTTTCTTGGCACTAGCAAGGTGTACCCATAATTTTTGAAGCAACATGTAAGCAAGACTGTAAGCTAACCATTTTATTTAGTGACGGGCTTTGATTGGCATTCGGAGTGCATTAGAAAAATTTGCCTGAAGCCACATTTTGAAGCACTTGTAAACAAGCTCTTAGAGCATGTGCTCTAAGGCCCCTTTCATGCAGCTGGTTTGTTGCTACCTCCAGATTCTTGCAACAAGAATCTACAGATTCATACAGCAGGAATGACCTAGTTATGCAATCAGCATTAGCCACTCAGCCCATTTAAAGTGGTTGTAAAGGGTCAAGGTTTTTTACTTTCATGCATTCTATGCATGAAAGTAAAAAACCTTCTCTGTGCAGCAGCCCCCCTAATACCTAAGCCCCCTCCCGATCCAGCAATGTGCACTTGAGTCTCCGCTATCCCTCTCCTCATTGGCTGAGACAGCAGTGGGAACCATTGGCTCCTGCTGCTGTCATATAGAGCCAATGAGAAAAGAGAGGGGCGGGCCAGTCCACAGCTCTGTGTGTGAATGGACACAGACCAACAAGTGCCCCCGTAGCTCATTGGTGCCCCTGTTCAGCAGATGCCTAACTCATTGGTTCCCCTGTTCAGCAGATGCCTAGCTCATTGGTGCCCCTGTTCAGCAGATCCCTAGTTCATTGGTGCCCCTGTTCAGCAGATCCCTAGCTCATTGGTGCCCCTGTTCAGTAGATCCCTAGCTCATTGGTGCCCCTGTTCAGCAGATCCCTAGCTCATTGGTGCCCCTGTTCAGCAGATCCGCAGCTCATTGGTGCCCCTGTTCAACAGATTTACAGCTTATTAGTACCTTTTATCTGCAGATCCCCCCTCAGTAGTAACCCCCATCTCTGCTGATCTCCCGCTCAGTAGTAACCCCCATCTCTGCTGATCCTCCGCTCAGTAGTAACCCCCATCAAAGCATGGATTGATCCTGCCTTGTATCAATGTTTCAGGCTGGTGGTGGTGGTGTGTAATGGTGTGGGGGAGATCTTCTTGGCGCTAGCAAGGTGTACCGATATTTTTTGAAGCAGAAGCAACATGTAAGCAAGACTGTAAGCTAACCATTTTATTTAGTGACGGGCTTTGATTGGCATTCGGAGTGCTTTAGAAAAATTTGCCTGAAGCCACATTTTGAAGCACTTGTAAACAAGCTCTTAGAGCATGTGCTCTAAGGCCCCTTTCATGCAGCTGGTTTTTGCTACCTCCAGATTCTTGCAACAAGAATCTGCAGATTCATACAGCAGGAATGACCTAGTTATGCAATCAGCATTAGCCACTCAGCCCATTTAAAGTGGTTGTAAAGGGTCAAGGTTTTTTACTTTCATGCATTCTATGCATGAAGGTAAAAAACCTTCTCTGTGCAGCAGCCCCCCTAATACCTAAGCCCCCTCCCGATCCAGCAATGTGCACTTGAGTCTCAACTATCCCTCTCCTCATTGGCTGAGACAGCAGTGGGAACCATTGGCTCCCGCTGCTGTCATATAGAGCCAATGAGAAAAGAGAGGGGCGGGCCAGTCCACAGCTCTGTGTGTGAATGGACACAGACCAACAAGTGCCCCCATAGCAAGCTGCTTGCTGTGGGGGCACCCAACAGGAAGGAGGATCCAGGCTGCTTGCTGTGGGAGGGGACCTGAAAAAAGGAGGATCCAGGCTGCTCTGTTCAAAACTACTACACACAGCAGGTAACATGTTTGTTTATTTTTAGGGAAAAAAAAAAAAATTGTAAGCTTTCAGTATTGCTTTAACCACTTGCCGGCCACGCTATAGCTGAAAGACGGCTACAACGCAGTCATCCAGTTGTAGGAGGGCGTCCATGGATGTCCTCCCAGAACCCAACCCCTGGGATGCACCTCTGGCACACTCTGTGACCACTGTGTCCTTTGGAAACAGCTTATCACAGATCAGGGTAAAGGTCCAATCAGAGCCAATCACATGTAAACAGACTTGCCAATTATCGATAATCCTTTCCTCACATGCGTACGTCAGTGAGGAAAGTTCAGCTGTTAACCAGCAAGGCTGTCAGTACATTGTTTACACTAATCAGGGCACTGATCATCAATGCAGAATAAAAAAATGCAACGGCAATTAAATACCATCAAAAGAAAGCTTTGTTAAAAAAAAAAAAAAAAAAAAAATGAATATGGGTAGTGATGCATGATATGCATTTCAAAGTGCAACAACACCGAAAGCTGAAAATTGGCCTGGGCAGGAGATGCCCGGTATTGAAGTGGCTAAACTAATGGTGGGCTGACAGCAGCCACTGCTGGTTCTATAGAACCATACACAGACCGATTAACTCAGGTTCTGGGACATTCTTGCCGCAGGAATCTGGAGTCTACAACAAACTGGCCGTATGAAGAGGGCATAAACGAGACACCCATCAAATTCATGTACCTGTCTAGAACTTAAATTTGGCGCAGGACTTTTAGAATGCACACAAGACACTTTCACAAAATCTGTGATAGGATCTCTCTTTCTCCACACCAAAAGACAATTGGCCTAAATTAGTTCCACTTTTCGTAAGATACGACCTGTCAGTATTTTGTTTTGTCAGAAGTGTCACAGGTGTGTCAGGGCTCCGGGTATGACCAGAGGTGTGTGGACCGACACAGGGAAACACAGACGACTTCAGGTATAGCATGTAAAACAATATAATTTATTAAGGGCAACACAAACGCAGTGCAACAAACCAAAACTAACACAAATACGTACAAGGTGCAACAAACCCAAACCTTAACTGATAGATAGCTATATATATAAATATGGAGCACAATGTAGTCAGGCGGGCTGGGTTGGTAGATAACGGGCAGACAAGGTACAAGGAATAGGCAGAAGATTGGTCAGGAGTAGCCGAGGTCGGTGCAGGCAGAGTTCAAGCAGAGTCAGGATCAGGCAGGAAGCAGGTACAGGGGCTCATGGGAACAATACACCAAGGCCGACTGCAGGCCTGGCCATTCCTTAAATACACCTCCTGCAATCAGCCTCAGGTGATGGCTTGATTGCAGGAGTGAGCTTCTGGCCGAGAGCACCCGCTGGCCAGCCCTGGTACTGCAGCCCATAAGGTAGGGGAGTCCCACCACCATTGGTGAGTCCATTCCTGACAGTGCCCCCCCTCAAGGAGTGGCCTCAGAACGCTTCAAACAGACCGTAATGGCACATCAGGCTGGGCGGCAGGCACCGGGCCATCTAGTGGGGCAGCGAGCACCGGGCCATCTGACACGACAGCGGGCACCGGGTCATCTGGCACGACAGCGGGCACCGAGTCATCTGGCAGAATAGCGGGCACGGGTCACCAAGCTCGACAGC